TAACCGGAGTGGAGGTTAGAGCCGAAGAATTTGTTGGTAAGAGGTTTGAAGAATCCGAGTTTACAATGAAACAGGCTAAAATGGAGAAGGCGAGCTGAAAAGATCTCGAGGTCACACTCCAACATTTTGGGGAAGACCCGACCCTCAGGTAAGGTTCTTTCCTGAGGTCCCATCAATGAAGGATTGAATGATCCCCTCCTTCCTGTAGTCCCCGCGTTCTTGCCACGAGGTTAATAAGTGGCACCTGCGTTAGCTTGGGTGCCCCGAACCTTCTCTGTTGGACAACACCATCCAATCATCGTTAATTACTGGGACGTAGTCGGTTCAACGGCTGTGGCTGGCCACTTTCATGTTAGCTTCACAGGGCTACTCCGTACCTACAGGCTACAATGGAATCGCCTTGCTACCTAAGGTAGCGAGAGTACCAACGGTATTCCTATTTTCATTCCCATTTCTATTGAGCCGTACATATGAATTTAGCCTGCACCTGTCACTTCCCGGATATTGATAGATTGCTTTCGACTCCATATCTCGGGTTGAGGTTCTAGATCTCCAAGTCACCTTAATTTTGCCGTGTGATGCAGCTTGATCCTCTAGACTCGGCAACGGGACAGTCTTGTACTCCACCTCTGAATGCAATTGTCATTTGCTACTATGTGACTCTTTTGATGATATACACAACAAATGACCAGATGAGCTAGAACTACAGGGTTTCACCCGAGGCCTCCCTTACCGACGTGGTTGATTGACAGACCATTTCCATTACCCGCACACGTAAGGACCTAAGCAGCTTCCCCACACATGTCTTTGAGTTTCTGTCGACTCGTGATCAATACTTTTCCTTGCCCTAGCAAACATTGTAACAAAGGGAATAAACAGCAGTCCAGTTACACGCCAATAAACCTTCTCAATACAAACCTTTCTCCAACAGCTGCTGATGATCAACTGTAGTAAATGTGACAAGCCTACCACATCGGTGTCAAAACAGCTTATGTGATGGCAAAACAATTCAAATCTCCTCGGCGGGAAGTGCACCACTCATGAGGGGGACATCGTCCATGTCGTCGTCGTCGTCATTTTCTTCCTCTGAAAGGGTGCTACTGCCAGCTCCACGCTCCAGCTCTTCGATGCTGTCAAGAGCCCGCACAAACTTCTCGCGTTCTCCCCTGAGTGTTCCCCGCCTGGCTGCGGTGTCGGAATCCTCCTCCATGAGTCTCTCGTAAACACTCTTGGCATCGGCTCCAGCAATGCCTAGCTTTCGGTCGAGATGGAAGGGCAAATTTCGTTGGATATGCGGTATCATGCCGTTTGTAATATGCAGCGCCACGGCATCCGCGAACCTCAGCGCTGCAAGGCGGTAGTAGCCTCTAACATAAGCTACCACTTCCAGCTCCCGCTCGAAGGAGTCCGGTCCGAGTTTTGTCAACTCGTTTTCACGTCGCTTTTCGTCGAGAACACGCTTCTCCTCTGTAAGACTTTCCCATGGAACAGGAGCACGACCATCTCCATACCCTGCAGCCTGCATACGCATTTGGTGGCGATAACGCGTTAAGAGAATCTGTTCATCCTTTTGATATCTGCGGAAGGCCTCCTGGTTGACAGTGAACAGGCCGTATGTTTCGAGACGGTACACGAGGTCAAGCGCTCCAGCTGTTTCTCGTCGACGGTCGCTGAGATAGTCTGTCAAAATTTTCCTGCACTCCCGGAAAATCAACCGTTTATTGAGACTTGCAAACGACTTGGCCAGTGCCTGATCAAGCATATCCTCCAGCAGGCTCATAACATGATCGAGAAATGCTTTCATGGGCCCTGACCATGGTTCAATGGCTTCTCGGCACATGTCGTTATAGACTTCTTCAGTGATGATGTCAGGCACCCCAGCTCTGGTCTTAGACTTGATCTCATCACGAACTTGTCGAAGAGTCCTGAAGCCTCGCCCAACTCCACTAAAGGGAGTGAATGGGGCTGGGAAGAGTTGCCGACGGGGAGCAGGGGAGCCGGCCACGCTAGCCCTACTATCTTCAGGCTGCAGCGATCGAGAGGGAGTCCCTGCCGGGGTTTGCTCCATGCGAACTCGTTTAGAAGGGGTAATAGGGGGCGCCATCGCCCGTCGTTTACTAGGCGTATGTGGGTTGACGGCTGGCGCCACGGAACCTGCATCTGACTCATCGTCAGAGATATCAACAACAGGAATGTCACTGCTATCTCTGAGGGTAAACTTGGGCTTCATGTCTAGCAGACAGTCGCGAAAGTTATCCGGAAGCGGAACAAAATGCTTTGAGAACTCGGAAGGCTTGAGTTGTGTTCGGGTCAATTCACCAAACTCCATAACACTGGTCTGAACCTCTAGTTCAACATTGTCAGGTAGTTCTGGTAGCCTTTCGAGTTGCTCAACGATGTCATTGAGGCGCTGTCTTAGCTTCTGCTTGATATGGGGTAGACTGGTTAAAAAAATGTTAGCCTTGTTCCTAATATCGTGTGGGATAGCAACTCCTTTGGTTACCTTTTCGCAAATTCTTGCCCAAGCTTTTCTGACAGGAAATCCTTCAACTTTTCCACACCGCATCGCTCTGAAAATTCATAAAACGTTGCAGGCCATCGTTCGAGAGAATGATCCACGAAAACTAGTTCTTCCCATTTCTTAAGCTCATCAAGGTCTTTGCCCTGAGGCCGCGAAGTGATGAAATATCCCAGACCAGCAATATGAGCTTGCCCTCTCATGATAGAAAGCCATTGCTCATGATTGCCATTCTCTGGTATCAGATCAGCCTTGGTCAAAACGCCGATTGTCCTGTTAAGAGCGCCTAGTCTACGTATAAGACCAAAAGTTGACGAATTCTCCGCATCGCTGTTCATTGGCATAGAACACATGATAATAGCAGACGGGTGCTGGATATACTCTTTCGATAGATTCCTTACGACGCTAACAAGATAGTCGTCGCTTGCGTCGGCAGGGTTCTGGAAAATGCCAGGCATATCGTAGAAAGAAAGGTCGGGAAGGTTCGGGCCTTTGATCTCGAGTGCAACAATATTCGGTGAAAACTTTGCGGCCACTGCTTCAGCGGCTCTGTCGATGGGGATGTTGACAGCCAGGGCACCCGAGCCAGGGATAAATAGCTCGTGACTCTTGTCATCATTGAGAATAGCGATTTGGGCCCATCTCAAAACATCTTCAATCTCACTGTGCTCGATCATGGTCTTGAACTCATGAGTCGCACTGGATGGTAGTTTGCGCCAGGGGAAGAAAGGGTCTCTGTCAGTGACATCCCCTTCTGAAATGCGGCCACTAGGCGGAGGCTGATAGGAGTATGCTTTGCGTAGCGATACACGGCAAGAGGAATCATGACTTCGTGATACCCTGATATGGAGCGGGCATCGTGTACATGTGCCCTCACTGCGAGGTAGGTCGAGATTTGCGAGACCTGACATCAAACTAGATTTTCCTGCAGACTGATCGCCAACAAGCACAAGCTCGGGAAGCGGGACATCGTGGTCAACACCGAGCTGCTGGAGCTCACCAAGGGTGTCGTTGCACGCCTTGAGCTTCTTTCCGATGTCCTGGAAGGAGGTTTGAAAGAAGCTCCCATCCGTGGGGACATTAGTTGGGCTCTCAGCGGCTGCGTTGGGACGCATCCTGAGTTCCCTTAGAAGAGGCTCGGGTTCAGTGATGCGTTCACTTGGTGTTGCTTAGGAAATTTTGTCAGTGTATGCGTTTGAGAGAGAAGATGAAAGAGGGCACTCACGGGCATCCGATCTATGATGATAGAAGGCCTGATCGGGCGGAATATAGCTGGTACTGCCACCGTAACTAGAGGGAGCAGGAGGAGCAGTGCGAATGTTGAAGTTGACAGTCCCAGAATCTGGCATAGAAGTATTATCCTCAGGGTCTGGTTTGACACGAGGCCCGCGGCGTCTTGATGAGTGTGACATTCTTGTGGATGAGAGACTGTGGCTGGCGCGCGAAGACATTATTATTACTGCAGTGGCAGCGGCACTGGCAAGGTCCCGCAAACAAATTGAATGAGTGATGCCTTAGAGCTCATGAAATTGGCCTATTGTTTTTCTGCTTCACAGAGTAGACAGCAAAGCTGGAGCCTGGTTGGCCCGTGAGCACGCAAAACTGGCTGGTAAGAAAAAACGGGGGTATCGAAAAGCAGTTATAAGTGAAAGAGAATTGAACAAGAAAGATTTGAGTGAAATTCACTGAAAAATGAAGTATGGTATTAGACGTGTATACTCCGTACGGAGTACAGAATAGGAGATGTTGAGCTGAAGTTTCATGAGACGTAGGTCACAGATTGGCGGTTGGCAGCCTGGGCTCTAATGCTTGCTTCTTTCTAGTGGCACTACGGTTGCTCTGGGGCAACACGCTGCCCCGATAATTCACGATAGAGCGTGACGGTTCTGAGAGTAATTGAAAGAGCGTAACGTTTCCTAGGGTAGCAAAAAAAATCCCCCACAGTTATTGAGCAGAGCTGAGTGCAAGTTTCTGACATCTTTTGTACCAGTTAGTCTCTATTGAGAAGCTGGTGTTGCGATTATCGTCCGCTGTCTTAACAGCATTTATTGCTGCATAGAGTGGATGAGTTGCAGCCAGGAACAGCAGATAAAAAAGGAGGCTGGGACAGGGCTGCAGGCGATAACCCATAGATAACGCGTTACCGCGTCAGTGTTCCCCCCTGAGCGGCAGTCCAATAAAGCCTTCTCCGCACTTGGACATATCGTGGTTAGTGCGCTCCAATCAAACGATTTTATTGTCTTCCGGCGGTTTGCTTATTGACTTTCCATTGTCTTGCTACGTAAGATGCCTTGAAGCGATAGAGCCTAGGTACCTTAGAGAGCCTCCAATGGTCCAGTGAATAAACAGTTCCCTAGAAGCGGGTAGTGGGTCTGCCACACAACGTCCCGTCCCCATATTCAACCATCCTTCTTATTCCCGTCCCCCGGAACTTCACTCCGACATCCATGCAAATGACTTCTATTGTTCAAAACTCGAACAAATGGACAATGAGATCAATGTACGAGCGACTCGAGCCCGAGCTCGCAAGCGCGAAAAGATATCCAATGCGTCAGTTCATAGCTTGTCCCATACACTTGTCAATTTAATTGACGCTGAGTAGCTGTATCGCCTGCCGCAACAGCAAGACTCGCTGTTCAGGCCTCCATCCTTGTGAAAGATGCATTAGACGTAAGGAAACCTGCGTCTTTGAAGAGAAAGAAAAGAAATTAGCAGTATCTGTAGAGTATGTGAGCGGTCCAGGCAGATGAACCTTGCTCAGACTGATGGACTTAGTTACCTCGACCAATTACACGCCCGTATCGAGTCACTTGAGGCTCAATCACGCTCCGTCCAAGGTCTAGACTCGAATACCGAAGCTCTCTCATCTGAATCAGTGCAGCTTAATGCACTAAATTCATCGAGAAATCCTCCACAAAGCCCCTTAGGCGAAAATAGGACGTCGTTGGTATGTATCACACTGTGAATGTTTCCTGTCTCTTGACTAAGTTCTGAAAAGAGATCGGAGTCCAGTTCCCTAACAAATACTCTTGTCACTTTCGAGCCACAGATCAAGGTCCATCGCTATGGGCACGCTGGTGAGTCCGCCATTCCCTACCTTAAAGTAATTGACTTGCTTACCGTATTAGCCTACCTTGGGCACAGCTCAACTCTCAGCTTCAGTCGCAATGTCCGCAACCTTCTTCAACAGTCGTCCCCAATCGCAGATCCTGGGAGCGTATCTATGGAACGACAGGACATATCTTATACCCGAACACTGCCGCCCATAGCTCTCGATCTGTCAAGCATCGCCTTCCCGAAGCTCTCTTATGCTGAATACTTGACCAACACGGTGATTGTGCACATCGGTTCTCTCTACTCCGTATTTGATGCAGATGTCTTTCTTCAAAGACTGAGGAGGTTTTATGATGACCGTGACAAAGATTCGGAGAGTGGTGCAAGCCTATGGCACATTCAGATGCTACTTATACTGGCCTTCGGCAAGTCGATACAGTCCAGAGAACACTCCGAGATGGGCCCCTCCGGAATGAACTACTTCACACTTGCCATTGAAGCTATTCCGGATATCAGAAGGCTGTACGAGGATCCTTTGTTGTCAATTGAGGTTCTATGTTTGGCTGCTTTGTTCATGCATGCGACCGATCTCCTACAGGAGGCCTATGTCACGGTTAGTTTGTGCAGCTTCAGTGTTCCTCCAACTAACTGGTCCTTAGATTGGCCAAGCCCTGCGAATTTCTGTCACCAAAGTGCTGAACAAAAGGTTTCCAGAAGCTTTGAGATCCTCAAACTTCGAGTACCAAAGACGTCTCTGGTGGACAGTCTACTGCATCGACAGGAAGTGCGCGGCCATGCTAGGCAGTCCATCTGTCATGAGAGACGACGACATCTCAATTCCTTTCCCAGAAATAAAGCCGGGACATGAGTCGCAAAATGCATTCGCTATCCATGCGATCCTTTCTTCTCACCTCGGCAAGATCCTTGATGGTGAGCTTCATGACCTATACTGTGTGAATGTTAGCTCATCTAGGGATCACAGCCATATATGGAGTACACGATCAACAGCGGAATTTCCTTCTTGAAGTGAGGTCAATTCTTTCTCGTATTGCAGAAACCTACGTTATCCAACGTCAACATCTGCCGCTAGATGTGCATCAACCAAGCCAACCAATTTCTCGCGAGTCTGCCACACTCCATCTTCTGCTCCACCAGGTATGTTCCCCATTAAGACTATTCGAATCCGAACTAATTAGGTTCCAGTGTGTGATTTTGACTGTTAGGCCTGTTCTTTTCTCACTTCTCAAGCCTCTTCTGACATCAAATGCTGCGATGCCCGATGCTCGCCACTCTTCGTCGCTATTTGAGTCGATGCTGAAGATGTGCATCGAGTCTGCTGTCCAAATCCTCAAGATCATGTCAATTCTGAAGCAACAGATGATGTGTGGTGAGTTCGACAGCACCTTCTGTGACTGTATATTATTGACTTGAGTCTAGATATCTTCTTGCCATATGATATCGATGCACTCTTTTCAGCGGCCTTCGCCTTGATTCTAATAGATATCATCCGGCCAGCAAATGAGCTGCTTTGGGACTTGCCCCAGGTTATGAACCTCCTTGGCGAGTTTGTATCACGGCGTGTAGCTCCAGCGCAAGCCTATAGATCCGATCTCGTGCAAATTCTAGAGCTACATACTAAATTACGAGGGAGCAATAGTCGCCAGCATCAGGACACTGGGAACATGTTCAATATGAACCTTGTTCCTGGCCTGGACGAATATGCTATAACCCACCCAGGGCAGTTAGGTATATCGCCTGACCCATTGTGGTCAAATATACGAGATGGAAATGGAGTTGGAGATCCCGCACACCCCAACACAATCCTTTCAGTGATTGACGATTTAAATGTAGAAGGTTTCGAGATATCAGACACTGATATGCTTGATAATGCGTGGATGTGGGATATGGACGACATGTCGACAAACATCTGAACTAAATGCTCAATACTATAGTAGTCATGCATGCTTTCGAAATAACTCGATACAACTACATCATCAGAAATGTTTGACAGCTTGTGATAGTCGTCATATTAGCTCCGACTTACACCGGAATCCTGTTCCGTAGATAAGTACGTATAGTGCGGAGCGGGATTCCGAGGCTTATTCTCGAGCAATATTTAAAAGATGACTTCTTATAAGGGCAAGCACAAAATTCAACTTCTTCTTTCTCAACATCATGGCGCTTACTTCCCGTTGTATTGCTCCGGTCCTATCCATCCTACGGCCAGCAGCGCATATACCCCAAATTAACATGCACCCAAGAAGTATCAATTACGGACATAGTCGCGCATTCTCAGCCTCGATTCGATCTTATGGAGATATGGAGCACGTATTCTCTTCCAAAGCAGTCGCACGTTCGTGTTATTTTCACTCTGTCTTTGAACCAAATGTTGATCAGAAGCGCCAGCTATTGGGCCATACACCCAAGCTATCAAAGCCAACGGCATGGTCTTCCTGTCAGGCCAGATCCCGCCGACTCACAGGCTAGGCTTATAGAAGGAACCATTGCTGAGAAGACGCATAAGATGTGTCAGAACGCAAAGGCTGTTCTGGAGGAAGCTGGCTCCAGTCTTGATAAGGCTGTTCGGGTAACGGTGTGTTGCACATTTGATATTTCCGAGTCTTTTGCTGATGATAATGTAAGTTTACTTTCAGAATTGGATGACATGAAGGACATGAACGAGATCTATGCCGAGTATTTTCCACACAAGCCTGCTAGAAGTGCATGCGAATCCCCGAGACTTCCTGCTGGCGCGAGCATGGAGATGGATAGCATTGCGCTGCAATAGACTTCCCAATTCCCAATAGTATTGTATATTTCCAAACTGACTTATATGAACTCCTGGTTGGTCCTCATAAAGTTGTCTGAATGGACATTTGCTATTGCTTTGCTTGATCATCGCCTTTTAAAGTCCCACAAGACATATCTAATGTTATATAAATACTTGACTGATCTCACACAATAAAACCTTCTCTTAGACTACAGAAGCCTGTCAGCAGCATAAGGCCAGCAGCTTTCATCACTTTAAATGATATTCTGAGTAATACTCTGGGTTCAGGGGTATGACCCATCAAGGTGAATTTTCACTAGGATGCATTCCATCTTGCGTTTCTCTTCTTTTGCAGTATAGCTCTTGCATGCGTAGTAACCAATATTGAAGAGTGCAATTTCGAAGTAGTGTGTCGCTGTGATTCTTTCGTAACCACGTCAAGAATCCGTTCATTGTAGTGTTCAGGAGTGTCACACCCGACCTCTTTTGAGTGTCCGGTCGGATAGGGTGGGCTTTTGTTGGCTTGCGCTTCCTTACCAATCACATAAGAGGGTTTGCCAAGTCGAATAGAGTTCCTGGGCCCGTATCTTGCGTGTTTTGATGGCCACGCTTTTGGGTTCTCGCCTTTGATAGATGCAGCAAGTATGCCGCATCTCAAGAGCTTCAAGAGCTTCAAATGCTGGATACAGAAGAAGCTGGAGAGAGCGTACGAAGCGGTCTGATCACGTCGCCTTCTGAATGAACCGTGTTCTCCCTGGAACTTTCTTCCATTTGAGTAGGCACAAAGAAATGAGAGGAGATTGCAGTTCCCTCCTTTGTCCCACTCAAAAGACACTGATATCTGCATCCTGCATTAAAAGTCCACTCCATCGAGGAAAGAGAAAAGGAAAGCATGGGCATGTCGAAAAACGAGTGGCAAAGCGTTCAGCCATAGCAAGTTATCGCCGAAGAGTCGAGCTTCTGCAGGATCATGAGGAAACAGTATCTGCAAGGTAAAGGTATGAAGTGCTAATAAGCTCGGCCAGGTTCTTCGATTGCATCTACCATTAGTAATTAACATCGATTCACGCTAGGGCCACTATGTCAGATCTGACACAAGTCACACGCAGCGAGCCGAGACAAATCGTAATTCCCACTCAACAGCCTATCTTATTTATGTCACCATCCACCTTGGAGGATGCGCTTAGCGGCGTGGCGAGCGAGATGAGCCTCGGGGGGCAAGAAAATATCGAACCTTAAGATATAGTGTCAAAATAAACTCATCAAAAGCTATCATAATCTTGGGCTATATTACCTAAGTCTTTTTGTCATCTAGGATTAAGGTCCTGTGTTTTCTTTCCTCCCCTAGATGAGTAGGGCCTCGGACCCTGCCCTGTAATAAGCTGCAACAGAGTGTTGTTAGTGCTGACCAGAGGCCAGGATGTTTCGTCTTTCAATCAGGCCTTGTGTCTGCAGATCAAATGATCCAGTATTTAACGATTGAGCCTCCGCCTTGAGCCATTTGTCATAAGGCTGAAGATAATTGCGAACCCAAAACCAATATTGGCGATGGCTTCAAACACGCCCAAGGCGCCATCTTCTGGCGCCTCACCTGGGAGCCTTCATCAGCCTGCTAACCCCGCAACTACCGGGCGGCAAGTAGGCCACGCAACAATTCCCCACGACCGACCCGTGGCCCTCATGACTTCAGGCGCTCCTTTGCTAAATCCACGTAGTTGCGTTACTTGTCGGAGGCGAAGAGTCCGATGTGACAAGACGATGCCCTGCAGCAACTGTCGGCGGGCACAATGCGACTGCATCTACCCTGCTCCGGGCCGCGCACCACGTCAGACGCGGCTTGCGCCTACAGGCCCTGTCACTGGGCAGAGTGAGCGTGAGACGGATCTCTTGAATCGATTGCGGAAGCTCGAGGGGCTTGTTCACGAGATGAGTGGTCAAGGTACAGCTAGTGAGAATGACATGGAAGTGCTCAATGGAGAATCACCACTAGCTTCGGAAAAGAGTAAGAGGGCAAAAGATGTTGTTCAAGCTGCCACTGAGAAGGTCAAGAGAGAGTCTGAGAGCACCGATTTCTCAAAGGTCAACAAACAGCTTGGCCGTTTAGTACTCCATGATGGAGACTCCACGCCGCGATACGTCAATAGTGGCTTCTTCGTGAAGCTCAACGATGAGGTACGATCTCCTTGACAATATTGAGCATCATCTGACATGGACAGCTCGCTGAAATCCGCAACGAGATGGAGACTATGAACGAAGAAGAAGCCGAGTTTGAAGAGGATACGACTCCCGAGCAGTCCCCTCCACAGAACTTGGGTATTGAGCATGATCACCACAGCTTCCTTTTCGGCTATAGCTCTGCCGATGTTGATCTTACAGGCCTTCACCCGTTGCCCGCGCAAGGCTCTTTCCTCTGGCAGATCTATCTCGAGAACATTGAACCTCTTGTCAAGGTGTTGCACATCCCCACCATGAGCAGACTTATGACTCAAGTGAGGCGCGGAGAGCATGATCTGCGTCCTGGAGATGAAGCGCTTGTGTTTGCCATTTATTATTCAGCTGTGACCTCGATGGAGACACAAGAGGTGAGCTCTCATTCACTCACAAGATATGGACGCCGTCTCACACAGTCTAGGTCGAAGCAAATCTCGGCGCGTCTCAATCTCACTTCATTTCTCAGTTTCGTTTCGCTCTTGAACAAGCTCTAGCCAAGTCTAATCTTCTCAACACCACCAACATGGCTATGCTGCAAGCATTTGTTATCTATCTTACCGTAGTTAAATGTCACGATGATAGCAAGTTCGCTTGGACCCTTACAAGTCTCTGTGTCCGAATGGCTCAAGCCCTTGGTCTCTACCGCGATGGTCAGCAGCTTGGCCTCTCGCCATTTGAGGTTGAGATGCGTCGCCGTCTTTGGTGGGCCATTGTGTCTCTTGACGTCCGTTCTGCTGAGGAAATGGGGTCTGATCTGATCATAGGCGACAAGACCTTTGACACTCAACTGCCATCAAACATAAACGACACCGATATCGACCCATCGTTCACCGAGACACCAACTCCTCGTCAGGGCCGCACTGACTCCGCCATTTGCCTCTCGCGTTATGAGATCACCGCCCTATCTCGAGGTTTATTCGCAGCCATAGCGCAAATGCGTCCTGTTGATCCTGAAGAGGTCGAAAAGAGTCTCGAAGAGCGCGAGCGCATGCTCGCTGAAGTCTACGAACGCATGGAGGATAAGTTCCTGAAACATCTTATGAGGGAGGATGATCCTATCTTCTGGGTTGCTTCTCTCATTTCTAGAATCATGATGGCAAAGGTTGGCCTCATCGTATATCAGCCCGTGCTCTTCCCTGGGATGGGTCCGCAGGTATCATACGAGATCCGAAGCCGGTTATGGCAGTCTTGTATTGAGATCGTTGAGTACAGCCACATTCTCAATATTGACCCCAGCTGCAGGCAATGGCGTTGGCTGTTCAAATCCCACCGTCAATGGCACGCAATCGCATGCATGCTGCTGGAACTCTCGAAACGGCCTTGGGGTGTCACCTCGGAGCGAGCCTGGGAAGCAGCCCAAATTCTCGACTATGATCACCCAATCGATGGCAGCAACAACACAAATCATACGGCTGCATGGATGCCTATTAAAAGGCTATTTACAAAGGCTAAACGACATCGTGAATCGGAGCTTGTACGGTTACGCGCTGATCCCGAGGCAGCGAAACGTCTCGATCGTGAGGAGAGAATCAAACCTGTACTGGAGCGTATTGGTCCTGCGCCCGGGATGCAGACCCGTATGTCAGAACTCCGAGCCCGATGGCGAAAGATATTTCGGCCGGGAGACTTCTCCGATGATGCCGAGTACCAGAGCATTTTACCCAGTGCAGATCGACCCGCGTCCCTTTCGCAATCTCAGCAACATGCCCAACAACCACTCGGTCAAATGAGTGTTTTAGACCCCATTGCCTGGCAAAATCTTCACTCTGGCAATCCAAGCATCGCTATATACTACGATGGGGTTGATTCTGGAGCGCAGAGCATGGGTGGTCTGTTACCAGGAGATAGTAGCCTTGGAAGTCTTTCAAGCATTGCATCGCCAGCCATATCAGGGACTGCATCTACAAATAGAAACGACAACGACCCTCAAGCACATGGAGGTGCTCGCATATCACCATGGCCAGGTTCAGATATGTTTCAGCACACTCATGATCCAGGTGCTCTCGGTGATATCGATGAGCTTTTCCAAAACAGAACCGGGCCCAATCCTGGTCTCGACCTAAACATGGACCCTGGCGAAGTTGATGATATTGATTGGCGGACCTGGGATGAGACTTTAAGGACCATGAGTAGGCCTGCAATGGATCAAATGGGTGCAGGTGCCGGTAGTTGGGGTGGCATGTGAGCGTAGTGAGCAGATAACGTGACTCACACTTATTTAAGCCTTTGATCCCATGTAGTATATTCTGTCAGGCTTTCACGATGACTTGCCTATGAACCATGCTTCCTTTGACAACCAGCTACTCGAGATAAACTTTTGATTGCAGAACTATATCTATAGAACTTTGCCACTTTTGGCTTGCAACGAATCATGGCTCCTCCTGTGTCCGTCTCTGGTAGAAGAAACTTCCAAATCACGAGGTTTGTTTCCAATTTTAACTCGTTTCTTTTGATAATTTCTTGATGAGACCATGCTAGAGTTAGTCTGATGAAAAATACTTCATGCCCAAGGCTAGCAACCCTTTTTGATTTTGCATAATCTTGTGATGAGACTTTATCTACGTTCCTTGTAGTCTTTGAAAACCCAAGAGCTATACAAAACCCACGAAGGTTATATGCACATTTTGGAATCAATACCATTGCATGTTCTTCATCTGGTGTTAGTCAACTTCGATCAAACTTCGATGACTATGCACTATAAGTCACATTATGTCTGTGACTGTGGTCTTTGAGGAACTGTCAGTCCATAACTTTATGTTCACTTTAAACTCAACTGCGTGCATTTCACAAGACTAGCTTTCATATATAGGCAAGTAACTTTCGGGAAACCTTACTAAACAGCAATATCGTGGCTTATGAGAACGAAAATTTGTATGAGAAATTTTCAAAGTTACAAGAACGAAAAGCTTAACAGGATATTCTTCCTTACTTAAAGGCCATTGCATCCCATCTTCGGCCTTTATACACTTTCAACTTCTTTACTCTTCAAGTGCATCTCTCTCCCTCCAGCCCAAGAAAAAACCACATCTTTGATCTCAACATGAACCACTTCATCGTGAAGAGCTCCAAGCTATGCTTGAAGAGCTATGATACCAACGGTGTTGTCAATAATATCTTCTTCATACAAAAGGATGTGCCATGCCCAAACCTGCTGGGAAAGCTGCAACATCTTGGGACCGTTGAGGCGATAACTCCCGACATGGCCGAGGTACAAATCTCCAAGTACTTCTTGCACATGTTCTTGTTCGTTCTTCTCAACTACTTCATTATCAGAAAGCAGCTCAACCAAAAGTCGAACGGCGATGCCAAGACCCAGGGGTCTCGCGATTCTACCACCAAGTTCAAGCCGCTGGCATGGATTCAGCGCAGTGCACGGAACCGAGCTGATGCCGTTATGTTTTCGAGCTGGATGGTGATCCTTCAGTTCAGCTTCGCCCACGAAGCCTGCAAACTAGCAAGTTTTCTGACCTACCAAGCATATTTGGCGGATTTGGAATGGAAAAAGCCCTACGTCTTGAGCTTAATCATTGCCGCCATCCGCATTCTGCTTTTCATACTTGGTACACTTGGCAGCCTATGCCCAATGTACTATGTCATGAAGGCGCAAAAGCAATACATACATGCTCTCATAAACCTTGAACTTTCACCCGAGCAGAAAATCAAGGATGAGAGTTTGGTGCCTCAAGAACTTCCAGCCCCTGCTCCTCCAGCCTCTGCTCCTCCCCAGACTGCCCCTTACCAGGAGATTACCCGGGAGAGCCCCTACGAACGTGAGAAGCGTGTCATAGAGACTTCTCCTGAATGGATTACCCCAACTCCTGCCCTTCCTCTCCTCCCTCTCAGAAGCAACCACACTCACTCAACAACGACTGCTCAACATCCCACCTCTGAAACTGGTCAGCAGGGTCCTCCAACAACAGCTCATCGCCCTTCACGCGGTCCCTCGGTAGGAAACGCGCCGCCGTCCTATACGGATTCAACCACGAACGGCGCAAACGACGACGATACCCGCCAAGCCGCTTTTGAGGCATTAATTAGACGGCTAAATGATCCCGCTATATCTCGTCAACGCCAACGAGCCTTCAACAGGAGGCATGCTTCCAGCTCCACAGGAAGGGTACGAGTAGGACAAGCAGTGGAGGAAAATGCGACAAAGTCCTCAGATTCCCCAGCTCAACCTGAAGACTGGGAGTTTGTCCACCACGAAGAAGGGAAGTGAAGTTCCTAGAAGGGAAGCATGGGAATGGTTCGAAAATTTATATGCCTAGGTAGACAGACAGATATGAGAAAACAAAGATATTCAATATTCTAATCTAACTACTTATCTTATATTGTCGTACAAGGGAGAGGATCATCAAAGCGAGCTTCGAGGCTTGCGTTCGTCGCTAGACCAAGCCCCGTTGGCTCAGTGGTAAAGCGTATCACTAGTAATGATAAGATCACTGGTTCGATTCCAGTACGGGGCAAGCGTGTTAGTCTTTTGCTGGTCCTTCTTTTTGTTATGTGTTTAAGCGTCTTCAATGTTATGTGACCTCTTTATGATAACTGTTTGGTGTCGAGGTGAAAATTTCCTTTTTAGGCGCAATATCTAACGGGAGGTAAAACTTAAGCAAGAGCTTTAGTGAGTGGCCCTTCTTCACCTCCATGTGACAGAGCTCGTCCTTCCTATTGGTAACTTGGCTATTAATTTGTCTCTCGCATCTAAGGTACCCGCCTAATTAGATGGGCTAGAAGAACCTGGTATGGTATTGCGAAGTGGGTAAATGGAAGCATTTTATATATAATGCTAAGATCATCAAGGTTGCAGGGCGCCAGCTCAGAAGTGTAGGTTCAAATAAAGCAATGCGAAGCAGTAATGATTGAGGTTTATATGTATGTGCATGGCGTAAATAAAGATGCTATTATGCATAAGGTAGTGTTGGTTGAAGGTAATCGCCAATAAGACATTCCACCATTCAAGGTGTAACTTTGCAGGCCGAAGCTCTTTGCCCAGAGAGGCCCCTATCTACATGCCATTGTTGCCATCGCCGTCGCCATCATATCTTTTCACCAGTGTCGTTTTCGCAGTTGAACTTGCAGGCTATTCTCGTAATATTTATCGTATTTACTTGGTTGGTGCCTTGGGTTCACCAGACGCGTCGAGGACGGGCTTACCCCCTCGGTAGAACCACCAGAACCCACCGCCAATAGCGAGGGCACCGGCGACGAGAATTTTGTTACTGATAATGAGTTATTAGTCCAGCTCATGCTCATCTCAATTCGTGTATCCATACTGGTTCTGGTTCTGTTTGGGCGGCTTCGCCTGGTACGGCTCGGAATCACGGAGGATGCTCGAAGTGCGGAGTCCTCGTTGGGCTGCAGGGAGAGGTCGAACGACAGCAGAGCGAGCGACACGAGCGACGAGAGGAGACATTTTGACAGTCAAGGAGTATATAATCAGCAATTGACAAGATTGATAGTCGGTAATAAATCCGCAGATCTGAAGGAGGTGTTGACAACGGAGCTAAGCTAAGTATCGAGGAGGAAAACGCCTCTACTCGCGTCGGGAACTCGTCTCTCTTAAAAGAGGAGGTGGTGAAGCGTTACTTGCGGGGAATTTCTTGCCGTCATTGATGAGTGACGAGACGCGCATGTCTGATATTATCCAGGTCTTTAGCAAAGTCACATTATTGTATTTGGAGAACCTGTTTGGGGGCATGTAAGCCGTGCTGCGAGCCGCCACAGTACAGACGAGGGACTTGTCGAGTACACAAAGGAACCCCGGATTTTCCCCAGACGGCAGTCCGGTAGGTAGCTTCTCCAGGGATGGGTACCCCTGACTTGGGCGTCTTTGGCTTTTGACTGGATGAAGGTAGCCGTTGTGTCCTGAGATGGCGGGCAAGTGCGGAGAGGGAGGCTTGGAATCGGCTGATGAGTGTTGCATTGGTTTATTGATGGAGGGGCTTCTGCATGTTGTCTCAACTGGCCTGTTCACCGCCTCAGCCACCCTATTATGTGATGGCTGTTTTCACATTCTCAAAGTGACATGTCTTCAACATTGATTCTATTCATACGCACAGTTCAGAAGAGGTTAAGGATGGGTCCATTTCTATTCTGATCCATCAATATCCACTGTCTAGCAGGGGTCTCTTCGGCAGCTAAAACTCGACCCACTCGATTTGAAGATCTCAAGATGAGGTTTAACATGTTGGTTCACGATACGACGATTGACACGATTGAAAGGGTTAAAGAGAACAATATCAATTGAGTCTTCTGTACTACCAAACCAGTAGTAATTAGCCACATCAAATATCTTAATACTACTTGTCGAGGGCTTATCGATTCCACACAATCAAAAACAAGGAACGGAACGGTTCGTTCCATTCCCGCTTCTTGGCAACCTGCAAGCATCACGCAACTCCTTCAATTGCTCTGGTTACGAACACCTTGCAAGAAGCAACATTTGCATACATTGCAACCTCATCAGTTCTCATGCGAGAATCTTTACCCGATAATTGCCGCCGCAAAGTCCGTCTATGATATGTGAAATCATGTCAAGCCTGGGCTCAATATCCAACGCTTGAGCAACCAATCGGTTCTCTTCTATAGCATTACTACAAGTGAAATACATATTACTTGAAGTTTAATTTCTCCTTCTCGCATCATCCTGTTTCTGTTCAGTTACCGTTCCATTTGGTTCTCCTCTATGTTTCCGAGGCAGAGCACGACACATTTGCATACTTTCAATCACTTTGAATTTCGAACATCCTAGCCAATGCATCCCTTCATTGAGGGAGTTATCTCACGATGGCGGGTTTCAATGGAACTGCCTGATATGAAAGATGAACCAAATACGTGTGCTTGGTGGTGACAAACATCTAAAGCCGTGAAGTGATTTTTAGTATACCTACCCAAGGTACATATTGTATGAATCCTCCATGAATACCAGTGGCTCATAGAGTTAGGCAAAATGTTTCACTTGATGATTGCAAAAAATAATAATAGCAAGTATTATTCATATCTATCATGCTCTCGAATCTGTCACAAGTCATCAAGTTCGACGAAATATACAGCTTACCAACAACACTCAAAACTAATAGCCCTGGAGCTACAATCACCAGTGTCGCGCATTTGTACATACAATCGAGAGACCTGGCTATGAAATGTCAATAATTTCAATCTTCTTGTCTGGTTGCATCCAACATCGCTTATTCGGTTTGCAACGATCCGATCGGATGGATGACCTTTTGATCGCATTGACAGTCGCGTAAACTTCTGGTTCTGAAACAATTGAGTAAAGGACACCAAGCTGTATTACCAAACGTCACCAAACTATATCTCAAGCCCCCCATCCGTCCAGCCAAAGTCGTTTCTCATCTCTCCCTAGATATTTAATACAGGGTAAGCCCCTCATTCAGCTGAACCCCTATATTCCCACGTGCATACCCACCCCCACCTAACCTCACCGTTCCCGCCCATCAACAGTTTCCCTTTTCGGTCACCGCCTTCAATTCTCCAAAGTGTCCCCTCCACTCACTCCCCCAGCAAAACACAGAGATCAAGCTCAACTTCACCTCCCCCTACGAGCTTCTTCTCCCTCTCTTCTCTCCAATTCCCACTCCTCATCACACCACAGCAATCATGTCCCTCCACGTCCCCATGGCCCATCGCACCAAGGACCAGGGCGCCACAAAGGCCGTCATCCTGGTATAGCTTCACCCTCTCCACCCCTCTATAAACTTGCTGTTCTAACAGAGTAATTGTTCTAGGTCGGTGGTCCTTCCCGCGGCACTCGTTTCCGCCCTCTCTCCCTCGACGTGCCCAAGCCTCTATTCGAAGTCGCTGGCCATCCCATCATCTGGCACTGCCTCTCCTCCATCGCTCGCGTCCCCAACAAGCAGATCCAGGAGGTCTACATCATCGGCTACTACGACGAATCTGTCTTCCGCGACTTCATCAAGGACTCCGCCAAGGAGTTCCCCGCCATCACTATCAAGTACCTCCGCGAGTATGAGGCTCTTGGAACCGCTGGCGGTCTCTACCACTTCCGTGATGCTATCCTCAAGGGTCGCCCCGAGCGTCTCTTTGTTCTCAACGCCGATGTTTGCTGTTCGTTCCCTCTTGACGAGATGCTCAAGCTTTTCAACGATAAGGATGCTGAGGCTGTCATCCTCGGAACACGTGTGAGCGATGAGGCAGCGACAAACTTCGGTTGCATTGTCTCCGATTCTCACACCCGTCGTGTTCTGCATTACGTCGAGAAGCCCGAGTCACGAATCAGCAACCTGATCAACTGTGGTGTCTACCTTTTCTCCACCGAGGCAATCTTCCCCTCTATCCGCTCCGCCATCAAGCGCCGCCTCGACCGACCCTCTCGTCTCGTCTCCTACCCCTCTTCCGATAACCTCGAAAACAGCTTCGTCCTTCCTGATGACGACGATGATGACGAAGAGAAGAAGAGCGGAGTTATTCGCCTGGAGCAGGATATCCTCTCTGATATGGCCGACAACAAGCAGTTCTACGTTTACGAGACCAAGGACTTCTGGCGCCAGATCAAGACTGCTGGCTCTGCTGTCCCTGCCAACGCTCTCTACCTCCAAAAGGCTGCGCAATCCGACCACAGCGAAGAGCTTGCCACTCCTAGCGCAAACATAGTCCCTCCTGTCTTCATTCACCCTACAGCTGAAGTGCACCCCACTGCTAAGCTCGGCCCCAATGTAAGCATTGGCCCCCGTGCTCACATTGGCGCTGGCGCCCGTGTCAAGGAGAGTATCGTGCTCGAGGACTGCGAGATCAAGCACGACGCTTGCGTTCTCTACTCCATCATTGGCTGGGGTAGCCGCGTTGGCGCCTGGGCTCGAGTTGAGGGTACCCCTACCCCCGTTGGCAGCCACTCGACCAGCATCATCAAGAATGGTGTCAAGGTCCAGAGCATTACCATCCTTGGCAAGGACTGTGGTGTCGGCGATGAGGTCCGCGTGCAGAACTGTGTCTGCTTGCCCTACAAGGAGTTGAAGAGGGTAAGTTCCCAACTCGAAATGTTCGATGATCAGCCCGCTAATAGAGTTACAGGATGTCACCAACGAAGTCATTATGTAAACGAAGCTCGTTTCTACAATCTAGACTAGTGCAAAAAGTTTGCGTTTGATCTTCTTTGAAAGAGGCGCCATATATCCTTAAAAGTTGAGGCCATCAAAGCGTAATGGAGGGTGTATATAGGAGTGATATCTGAGGAACAAAACTGCTTCCCCCAGGTCACATCAAGAGGAATGACTATTCAGTAAAGCAAGTAAACAGCGATAATGGACTTGTATTCTTGTCCAAGCCTCTCCACTATATTTTCAACTTGAAAGCTGTGATTTTTGGGAAACACCATTCCCGTCCTCTCTAGTCTTGATCTAAGATTCACGTTTCTATAATCAGGGGTATACTGCATACAACACCTCCTCAGAAGTGGGTGTTTTTCCTATCGCCAACCATACCAACCGGGGTAACGCAGAAAGTGATAACCACTGCAGACCGGCTATGCAAGCTCTTCTATCTATCCAAGAAATGTACCAATGAGATCCTGGCTATATATAATGTTACTGCAAGGATGCGTGATTCATGTCTTCGTTCGACTTCATAATAATGAAATCCCGAATACGAAATTTTGTATTCGAGTGTATAAGGTGGTTTGATCGATATATATATCGAAAAGATCAATCGTCTCTCTTAAAGTTTGATCGAGATGGCGTTCTAGGCAGTAGTGGTGTGCTTGGTCGACTCGTGGTCAAACCCATAGGGCTATCCATGGGATTGACAGTCAGTCGGTTCGCCAAATTACGAGGGGTATGTAAGCTCTCAATAGCCGGTTTCTCGAAGCTATGAATCTGGATTGGTGGAGGACGACGGATAGCCCTATCTGAACCATTGTAGATCCAAGTAGAGAGGAGAACTAGGAATGTGCCAATGACAAACTGCAGGCTGTGTTAATATCCATGCAATATGGTCACGATAAGGGAACTTACTGTTGCCGACACCTCGAACTGGAACAACATCATGCTGATCAAGAAGCTAATGACAATACTGATGCTCGTCGCAAAGTTCTTGACAATATTATCCGTATCCCGAATTACAACGCTCGCCAACATGCCACCGGCAGCTTGGAGCACAACGGCACTCCACACAACCCAATTGTAGCCCTCAAAAAAGCCGTGCTCGCTGATTCCCTCACCGTCCTGCCAAATTACACCACCGAGGCCGGCAGCAAAGATGGAATAAAAGCTTAGCTGAACGTTTCGGATCCAAACACTGGCTTGGGTGGGACTCTCTTTGAGTAACTTTTCGAAGTAGACACCCGTCAAGCCGGATACGGTAGCAGCGACAAGGACAGAGACCAAGCCAACCGAGTAATTCATAAGAGGATCCAGCGGCGGCAAATCATGGTCAATGCCTTGATAGGTAGCAGATCGCTTAGCAAGATGTCCAGCCTGGCCGTTGTCCGTGGGTACGTGTCCAAGCTCATGGAGCGAGCGAGGGAAGAAATGGTCCGTCATGTGGCGGAGAGGAATGCTGGATGAGCTCGAAGATGAGCCGGCTTGAGGGAGTGACACAACACATACGCCCAACGTCAAGATGATGAGGGCAAGCCAGCGCTTGGGTCCCAAGTGTCGTCGCAGCAGTACAACACTGAACAGTGCTGTGATGAGAATCTTTTGGGGAAAAACAGTCAGAACGTACTCTAACAGGGCTTATTTTGCCAAGACCAATATGACTGGGTGGTGAGACATACCTTGAGTTGATACAGCACCTGAAAGTGCACCGCATCCAAGTTACCCACAGCGACATACTGCAGCATATTCTGCAAGGTATAGAAAGCAGCTGTCAATGCAAGTTTCCACCCATCACCTGCAAAAACAGAATTATAGATTTGCTCGAAAAGGACTGTTGCGGGTGTCGTAGGAGCTAAGGTCTTTGAGGTATCGTAGATGGCCAAGGATAGCGAAACGGCGAGCTTGATGATCTCGTTCAGAAAGACGGCGGTCGAAGTAAAGTAGCGGTGATCGCCACTCGGAGGCATAACGCGAGAGTAGTGCATAATCTGAAGGCAATGTTAGCTGAGCCTAGGATGATGCGCTGCGACAAAAACCTACCAAGATAAGGGCTGAGTTCTGAAAAGTCAACTGGAATAGCACGTCAGTACCAGAATCATGGAATTTGCGTATTACCAAACAGAATAGCAAGAAACCAGGTGTGAAGTTCGTACCGTTGTTAAAGCCCACTGCTTCTTGTTCAGACCTAGGAAGCCACCCTGGCTAGCAGGCGGCGCCTTGGGGAAGGCCTCCAGTATCGCCATTGTAAAGTCGAAAGGAGAGCTGAGTTCGTCGATGTGATGTAACGGAGTGTGATATAAAGAGAAATTGGCCTGTAGTAAGAGAGCAATGCGCCTTGAAACCGCGATGGGGGCTTTGCGACACTGGCTGGGAAGACGATGCGACAATGGGCGAAATTCGAATTCTTTACGATGGCTCGGGCGCCAACCAACCACGTCCACCGAATTTTCTGGGTTCTTTTTCGTTTGTTAAAGTAGAATGGTGCAATATCGAGTATTCGGATCGCGTGTCAATCTTGTAAATGTTTCTGTTGCAGATCCAAGGGCCCCTCCGCGATCGCAATCGTGCACTGCCAAGGCTCGGGAGCCAATGCCTTGCAATATCGTCACTGCCAGTCGACGTCGGATATCCGTGCTCGTTATTCGTACTTCCCGAAGTGCCAGAGAATAATCGTAAAGAGCTTCTACACGTAAGGTAGAAGAAATGATGGAGAAAAAGGACAAAAGGGGAGGAAAGAGGCGGGGAGCACCTTCAAAAAAAGGAAGTCTCCGTTCTTTACAGAATAGGATAAGGCAGGTAGGCAGGAAGGATACAGTGACCCTGGGGTAGTGCAAGGAAGGAAGCACCACAGCCGTCCAGCCTACAATGGAAGGAATTGTGAACCGTGAACCTGAACCCCTTGCCTTACTTCCTGTTGGTTTTTTGTCATAAAAATAGGACCCAGACCTATGCCCAGCCAGGTAAGGCAGGAAGGCATGTGGCAGTTGGTGCATCTTCCTCCCCACTGGCCAAGCTACCTAGGTAGATGTATGGGCGGGCGGGGATCTAACAGAGCAGGAATCAGGGGCAGATGCATCTTTGGGAGTGTTTTCAGCAGGGCAGGGAATGAGAAGTTCCTGTTTGAGAGACGGGATTGGTTGAGTTTTCAATGCATTTTCCTTAGCAATAAGAGCAGTAATTGCTTAATTTTCGATAAATCGTCAATAAACCTTTATAATTTTCAACGTTGCAGTCATTAACTCTAATAACCCCTGTTTAAGTTGCCCCGGCCCCTTTATTATCCCTGCCCCCGTGCCTTTTCATTCATGCCAGGAACCAAGAGGGAAAAAAAGCTTTGTAGCAGGCGGATACCGGTAGATTTAACCGAAAATCTTGTCTGAGACTCTGGCTCTTGCTCTTTATACCAAGCGACAAATCTATCCACAAGCGGTGGAAGATCAAGTCGCATCCCTGTTCACTTCATAGCATGACCAGAGAGTATCAAAACCGTGAATAATCGGTACGAAAAGGCCGAGGTTGTAATAAGCTACTCAGCCTCTAGTACAGCTACTAAACGAGGCTGTACGGAGTAGTCTATGTATGCTCAAATACGATGTGGTCAATCACCTTCCAATTTCAACATAAATCTCCCCAAGCCAAATCAATCTCACTTCGGATCTCGAACTAAGTTCGTCGTTCCCCTCCCCGGCTCCGATCCCACCGGCGCCGATCGTCATCCAAACCCCACCAGACTCCGCACCTCTTCTCATCAAACATGTCCAAGCACAAAAAACCCAACCTGCTATGTTTTGTTTCGTACGTCATTTGCTTCCAGGGAATTACATCCTTTACTAATATGATATGTTTCGACGTCGACAATCCCCAGCTTCACAAATGCTGTATTCCTTAATGGCGTCATTTATCAGACTAGACTTGCCTGCTTCTGCACTGCTTAGTGACGTATATCGTGCGTCTTCCGGATATCATATATGCAGAACCACCAGCCACGTAGGAAGACATCCATCCGTCCATCCTTGACTTTTTACGTCAAATCCGCACCTCAAACGCTGTACGACTGTCCCCATGTGTGTGACATCTGCCGCCGCCCGACGCAGGCGCCTTTTTCTTGGGTCCAGCCAAAACGTCTTCCTCTGTCTCAGCTGTGTCCAAAGGCCCCCCTCCCGTAATACATTATACAGCATTTACATTCACCGCTCTGATGGTGTGGTTTCTCACTCACTAATGCGCAAGCAATCTCATCTGAAAAGCAAACCTCATCTTTTCTTTGTGCTGCCTCGACCCGCGAGGCGGTGAGCCCAATTGTCTGTACATGTTGTACCCTGATCCTAAGTTGTCCCTTCAATCATTTTGCAAACAACTAAAATCTGTTTCCCACCCATATCCTGCAAATCCTGGAAATCCAACTATCATCTGTCCCCAAAACCAAAAAAAGCTACATCCTTCAGCCTCATCCGCCACGTCCTTTCCCATCCACGTGTTGCCTGATATCAAGTGCGGGTTCTCGGACTGTTCGCTCACGTCTGGCGTCATTGACTCCCAGTTTTCGTGAAACGATTTATTTTCCTCTTCAGCATCACTATCGTGCTTGACACTGTTGCCTGAGTCAGTGATTTCATAGCCCGCGATGCGTTGATCACCATCTGGAATAGCTCCGACTCCGGTGGGCTGGATGGTAAGCTGAGTGCGAAGTTGCATGTTCTTAGTGCCAAAGTTCCAGACACTCTCCCGAGGCAGGAACATACTCGCGCTCAAGCTGTGCACCGGGACGTCGTCGATCCGGCGATACTGAAAGTCGCCCGCGCTGTCGAGGTGGTGGAAGAAGGCTGCGTGATGAGGGCTGCGGAAGAAAGCTAGGGATCCAATGTCGAATGTTGGATAAAGACTGCTGCCGTAAACTTCACTTAGCCAAGTCGCAAAGGACCCACCAATCCGAGATGCTCCCTCTCCTTCATTCTTGCTATTTCTGTCGTGGACCGTCTCATCCTGTGACCCATTAGTGTCCGA